CCTTGGGTTGATTTCAAGGATTCTCTTTTGCACGATTTGATGTTTTCCTTTCATGTTGGAACCATTATCATAACCTTGCCGCCTCACATTATCAATTTCTAAATCAAGTGATTTTAAAGTGGATTATAGCTCCTTAAAAAGTCCTAATCCAGATGTATCATCCACTTTAAGAAATTCAATGAAATATTCCTCCACTTTAACTGGGCATATTGACATATCAACACATCTTATTATCAAGGTCATTTGTTCATTGTGACTTGTATCTAAAGTGCAATCAAGTATAACTGAAAAATATTTTGCTTCTTTCACCTTTTCAATTATATCACTTCTCACCCTAGAACCAAGTATTGAAATTAATTCATTTTGAATCTTATGACTAAGACAATGATATTGAATTTATTTGTTCTGAATACGTCTAAAATGTTCTTGCATCACTAAATCAAATTATGCAATTAACTCAAGTAAACCAAGAAAATTACCATTCTTATTTTGATAAATCTTTTCATTATCTCCACGAAAAGTCAAACTACTTTTGGCCAAACATTTAACAACATAAATGATTCTTAAAACAATTTTCCAGTGCTCTTTCTCTTTTTTATTTTGCACTTGTAACTCTTTATCAATTGTTTCATTCTCTCTCAATCTAACTTGCAAATCAATCCAAGTTCTCATATTGTTGATATGCTCAATACCATTCTCATGTTTTTTTAGTCTTTCACCTATACGTTTTCAGTCATTCAAACCGTCATTGTCAACAAACTATTATTATTAACTGATCTAAACAATTTGCAGCAAAAGCAATATACTTTATTTGAGGATTTTGATTACACTAACCAGTAACCACTTTCTATCCTGACTCTTCCCAGATAGTAATTTTCTTGTATAATGAGAATATGAAAAATGTCTACAAAACTCATCTACAAGAAACTTTATATTGCTCTCTTACAGGCCTTTTCTCTATCAAAAAATCCCTTATTTTATTATCTATATTTTCCCAAGTTCCCAAATCAGATACATTTAAACCATGATATTTTTTTGCAAATTCATTTTCATTATTAGCTATATCAACTATTTCATCATTCAAATCATCCTTATCATCCTCTAGCATCCTTTCAGGCCCATACATCACATATTCATTTTGTTCTTCTTCATCACTCAATTGTTGCAATACATCAATCGACTCTTGGGCATTACTAATATTACCGGATTTAAAAAACTTATCAAGAGCCCCTCTTTGAGTTTTAATTACCTCATCAATTCTTTTTACTTTTTTTTTTTTCACTTCCATATGGGTATTTTCTAGGTATAGGTCCCATGTTTAAAATAAAAATTGAAGTGAAAAACAATATTAGACAAACACATAAAAAGAGTCTGAGAATCAAATAATGTAACAATAAAACACCAAAATTATAAAATATAATCAAGAAACAATAAAACCTGAATTTTGCCTTGGATAATGATCTTCAAACCAAAAAAAAAATAAAATAAAAAAAAAATAAAAAAAAACTCTAATAATTGTAGTAGGTCTTCAGTTGGGTGTTTCACTTTCGCAAATAAGTAGAAGAATCAATTGAAGACTGAGAAGAAATGATGAATTGTTGAAGGCTCCGCTAAAAAAATTTTAATCGGCACTGCTCAGAAAGATTTCCCAATTGCCGTAATGCCGTTAGAGAATCAAACTTGGAAATAATGTGTGGATGTGTGATGGATGAGAATTAATTTGATGGAAAATTTATTTGATATCTCTCTCTTGCCACTTGCCTTCCCGTTGATGCTTCCAATTCCTAAAATAAAGTGTCTTTTATTTTCCTTTTATTTTATTGTTTATGATTATTGTCTTATTGGTGTTTGGGCTTGGTCCAATAAAAGTTAATTTTTATATTTTGTGGACATTTTTATTGGTAGAAAAATTTACTTACAGAA